ATTACACGTACAGTAACACCTCTACCTACTCCACCAATATAGGTATGGTAGATTTATATATCTGATATTACACGTACAGTAACACCTCTACATACTCCACCAATATAAGTAAGGTAGAGTAAGAGATCTGATATAACACGTACAGTAACACCTCTACCTATTCTACTAATGAAGGCAAGGTAAAGTTATATATCTGATATTACACGTACAGTATCACCTCTATCTACTCTACCAGTGTAGGCAAGGTAAAGGTATATATCTGATATTATATGTATAGTATCACCACTTTCTACTCTTTCAATATAATAATGATAAACAACATTTATATAGCGCCCTTTGTAATTTGTCACATTACTCTAAAGCGTTTTACAACATATGGATAATAGTATTAGTTATAATGGTTAAACAAAACTGGTTTACAATCACCATTATACATTAAGCAAGAAGATGATCATATCAGTGTGCACATGGAAGAATAAACAAGGTGTTGTATGTACATGCAAAAGTAAATAAGTGAGCTTTCATGTCCTTCTTTATTTTGGCCAGGGCGTTTGGCTTTCTGATAGCAGATGGTAAGCTTTTCCAAAACGTGGTCGAAAACCTCCAAAAGCACCGCTGTTCGTCTTGTATGTTTCCACCAAAATGTTGTACTTCGACCTGTATCGTACCGATAACCAGTGCATTGGATATAGTTCATGTGTGATGTGCTCTCTCTTTCGAGTACGAGTAACCAGACGTGCTGCAGTGTTGTTGACCCTCTGAAGACGACTAGTAGGTTTGTCAGAAATACCACAGAGCAGGGCATAACCATAATCCAACCGAGAGGTAACGAGTGAATGCACCAAAATCTTGCATGTATATGCAGTTATAAACTGACGGATACAGCCGATGTTCCTGATCTGGTAGTAACAGGAATTGGCAATAACGTTCACTTGTTTCTCAATGTTTAGAGAACTATCAAAGTATGCACCTAGGTTTTTAACAGCTGGGACAGTTTCAATAGTTCTGGCACCTACCTTGAGCTGGAGAGCCATTGTTTGCTGACACTTTGGGGGAAAGGCGATTAGTTCCGTCTTTTCCTGACTAAGTTTTAGCATGTTGGCGTTCATCCAGATACTGATGTCTGTCAGACAAGCTTCTGGATTTGTATCCCAACTGTCTTGTGGTTTGATGGCCATTTAAATTTGTTTGTCATCAGCATACCAATGATAGCGATGGCTATGGCGACGACAAATCTCTCCGATCGGTTTGAAATACCGGCAATATTTTTGTGGTCCTGTCACCAACCCTTGAGGGACCCCGAAATCAAGTACTTTGTCGTGTGAGTTGGTAGATCCGATGGCAACACACTGTCGTCGTTCCCTCAGATAAGACTTATCAAGAATAGTGCACTATCTGTCATTCCATAAGAGTACTCAAGGCTTATAAATTATGCCATGGTCGATGACGTCAAATGCAGCAGACAAAATTAGCATGACAAGCACCGTACTGCACTTGTTATCCAATACAGACGCTATGCCATTATGTACATGTATACGTACATTGTAGGAGGGCGCTCTCAGTGGAGTGTCCCATGCAGTAGACCGATTACAGGTTGTCATGGATATAATTTGCATGAAGATGAACCTATCAACGCCGGGACAAAACCTTCTCCAAGATCTTAGACAGGAAAGGCAGATTTGATACTGGACGGTAGTTCTTCAAATCCTCCTTGTCCACTCAAGGCTTCTTCAACAATGGTCTAACATATGCCTTCTTGAAACACTAAGAAACCTTTGACTTCGATTACGAGGTCATGATGATAGGGCGCAACTCGTCCTTGGTTGTTGGTGAGAGCTTTGTCAATGGTTTCCCTTCAAATTGAATGTCAGCAATCATGACATAGATATCATTGTCAGCAGTTGAGTTCACTTCGCCAATATATTTGTAGGCAAGGTAGAGTAATACATCTGATATTGCACAAAAACAGTATCACCAATTCCTACTCTACTAATGTAGGTAAGGTAGAGTTATATATCTAATATTACACGTACAGTATCACCTCTACCTACCCTACCAAGGAAGCAAGGTAAAGTTACATATCTGATATTACACGTACAGTAATACCACTACCTACTCTACAAATGTAGGTAAGGTAAAGTTACATATATGATATTACACGTACAGTAACACCTCTACCTACTCTACCAATATAGGTAAGGCAGAGGTATATATCTGATATTACACGTACAGTTGTACCTACTCTACCATTTTGGGTAAGGTAGAGTTATATATTTGATATAACAAGTACAGTAACACCTTTACCTACTCTACCAATGAGGCAAGGCAAAGTTACATATCTGATATTTTACACACAGTATCAACACTACCTTCTCTACCAATGTACGACAAGGACGTGTAATATATATGATATTACACGTACAGTATCACCACTACCTAATCTACAAAAATAGGCCAGGTAGAGTTATAGATCTGACATTACACGTACAGTATCTCCACAATCTCCATACACATGTAATTACAGATTTATTTAGTGTCTTTACCTTGAACTGTGACTTCGCAAATGTGCATATTTCTTTTGTCGAGCGTTTTCATGTAGATCTGGACAAATTGTCCGAAAGCTGGTGTCTGACAGGTGAAGGTCCTGGTTTCCCCGCCACCCATTCCACCTGACACCTGGATACACAGGGAATCATCGGTCATGTGATCATCGTCCTCAAATGTACTGTTGAGTGACACAAATATGTCGAAGTCATGCAGTTTTTTTGCTGAAATAAAAATACATTCAATGTATGTGCACTCTTTTGCAAATATCAAGGCTAAAACATTACTTAGCTAAGAAACTGCTGGGTGGTTACTGAATAACTCCGCTAAGAAGTTGCCAAAGGTTTTTTGTTCCTAAAAAAATATTGTATAACTATGTAGGATGACCAAAATAGGTTTTTTTACTTTTGTTGTATTTTCCTGTCTTATATAATGCATATGAAAGGAACTATTAAATATTGCTGTCAAATGTTAAATATTTGCATTTAACAATAACCTTTCTCTCAAAGGTCCAATAGTTAATATGCTATATAATATATGCTACGTTTATGTTGTGTTTTTTGCATTTAAACCTATACTTATTCCGTGAGGCCTATATAAAAAGATTACTTTTGTCATGTTAATAATTAAAATGCTCAAAAGATTAAGGAGGAAAAACTGTTGAGATTTTCATTCGTATTCGCCCATGTTAGAAACAGAGAAGTAAACACTGCCGTACCTGCGCGAATTCCAACTCGGTTGGTGATATTAATACTGTCAATTTTGTATTCTCTTTCCAGATCGACCATCCACCATCTAAATAATCGAGGGTCATCAGAATCGGTATGCATACATGACCCATCGGAAAATTCTGGGTTCTTGTCACCGTCTACAGCATTAGATGCCACACTCCGGCGGTTGTAGTCGCTGATCTGGGAGGCAGTTTTATTTAAAGCAGCGTTCTCGACTAGGTCTGAAGTAGGATCAACGGAGCACGTTTTTGAATATCCTGTAAACATTTGATGATTTTGTTAAGGACATTTGTTACATTGTACTTATCAATTAGTTGGCAGCATAATAGAAGATATCAGTGGTTTGATGTTTTACTATAGGCAGAATACCATCTAAATGACAATCTACAAATAACGAGACGGTGATAAAACATACACAAGACGTTTAAATTATATAGAAAAGGCATATGAGTTTATCTTACCAGAAACAAAGGAACATACATTCTAAGTCTGTTGAACTGGATTGGGATGTAAACAAATTATACGAGATATTTAAATTATTATCTTATGCAAAAGGCGTTCCAGTTTGCATTTACTGAAACAAAGACACATTCAACCCTGTTAAATAGAATGATGATATAAGAGACTATACAAGATATTGAAATTAAAAAACAAAACGTTCCAGTTTATATAAGATTATACAAAGGCAATTACATCATAAACTTATGGAACAGGAAGGGTGATATAAAACTATACGAGATAATGAAACTAAATAGAAACGGTGTTCCATTTTATGTTTCCTGAAACAATGACAAATACATTCTAATCCAATCGAGCAGGATGATGATAATACAATATATATGAGACGATTAAATTAAAAAGGCGTTCCAATTGATATATACTGACACAAAGACACTTTCGTTATGCTATGACGATATACATCAATTATAGCCTTTGGCTGAGGTCTATACCTAGATTTATCGACTCGAGAAAAGATATATTAACCGAAGACGCACTCCGAGGTCAATATATCTTTTCTCGGGCCGATAAATCCAGGTATCGACCGAAGTTAAAAGCTACAATTGTTTTATTATTTTCAAAATAGTGATGTTAGCAATCTGAAAAAAATACACAATAAAAAAGTTACGGAAGCGGGACGATGCGTTGTTTAGACACACGTCATAATTCTATTTTTAGAAACACTCAGTCTTTCAACAAAAATCACGCGCTCCAAGGTAATATCGGTTTTTATCGTCGGACACGTGATGCACACCTGACTGTCACTTGTTGGGGAAAATATGAAAAAATCATAATAAAATTTATATAGAAATTATACATTCCTGATACAAAAACTCAAACAATATGCATGTTATCATAATGAACACGATTGTTATATAAAACAAACTATACAAGATATTTAAATTATAAAAGGCGTTCTGAAACAAAAGACACATACAGTGTAGCTTGCTCGAAAGTATTCTTAAAAGTAAGCATAGCAGTTACATCAAGTCAGATGCAAATACCTATCAAACAAAATATTCGTTAAGGTATTACACTAAACGTTAAGATTGACTTACCTTGACCGTATTGATATATAAATCATATAGAAAACTCATTCTAGTTTATCTTATGAGACATTACAATCCTGTTGAACAGGATGGTGATATAAAAATATACTTTATCTTAACATTATATAGGAAATGCGTTCTAGTTTATCTCATCATACATTAAAATCCTGTTGAACAGGATGGTGATGTAAACAATACTTTATCTTAACTTTATATTGAAAAGGTGTTCTAGTTTATCTAACCATACATTACAATCCTGTTGAACAAGATGGTGATATAAAAAATATACTTCATCTCAACATTTAATAGAAGATGCGTTCTAGTTTATCTCACCATACATTATAATCCTGTTGAACAGGATGGTGATGTAAACAATACTTTATCTTAACTTTATATTGAAAACTCATTCTAGTTTATCTCACCATAATTTATAATCCTGTTGAAAAGGATAGTGATGTAAACAATACTTTATCTTAACTTTATATTGAAAACTCATTTTAGTTATCTCTCCATACATTATAATCCTGTTGAAAAGAATGGTGATGTAAACAATACTTTATCTTAACATTATATAGAACAGGATTGTGATGTAAACAATACTTTATCTTAACATTATATAGAAAAGGTGTTCTAGTTTATCTCACCATACATTATATTCATGTTGCACAGGATGGTGATGTAAACAATTCTTTATCTTAACTTTATATTGAAAACTAATTTTAGTCTATCTCACTATACATTATAATCATGTTGAACAGGATTGTGATATAAACAATACTTTATCTTAACTTTATATTGAAACCTCATTTTAGTTATCTCACCATACATTATAATCCTGCTGAACTGAATGGTGATGTAAACAATACTTTATCTTAACTTTATATAGAAAACTCATTTTAGTTATCTCACCATACATTATAACCCTGTTGAACAGGATGGTGATGTAAACAATTCTTTATCTTAACTTTATATTGAAACCTCATTTTAGTTATCTCACCATACATTATAACCCTGTTGAACAGGATGGTGATGTAAACAATACTTTATCTTAACCTTATGTAGAAAAGACGTTCTAGTGTATCTCACCATACATTATAATCCTGGTGAACTGAATGGTGATGTAAACAATACTTTATCTTAACCTTATGTAGAAAAGACGTTCTAGTGTATCTCACCATACATTATCATCCTGTTGAACTGAATGGTGATGTAAACAATACTTTATCTTAACTCTATATTGAAAACTCATTTTAGTTCTCTCACCATACATTATAATCCTGGTGAACTGAATGGTGATGTAAACAATCCTTTATCTTAACATTATATAGAACAGGATTGTGATGTAAACAATACTTTATCTTAACCTTATGTAGAAAAGACGTTCTAGTGTATCTCACCATACATTATCATCCTGTTGAACTGAATGGTGATGTAAACAATACTTTATCTTAACCTTATATAGAAAAGCCGTTCTAGTGTATCTCACCATACATTATAATCCTGGTGAACTGAATGGTGATGTAAACAATCCTTTATCTTAACATTATATAGAACAGGATTGTGATGTAAACAATGCTTAATCTTAACTTTATATTGAAAACTCATTCTAGTTATCTCACCATACATTATAACCCTGTTGAACAGGATGGTGATGTAAACAATTCTTTATCTTAAACTTAAATAGAAAAGACGTTCTAGTAGTGATGTAAACAATACTTTATCGTAACTTTATATTGAAAACTCATTCTAGTTGATCTCACCATACATTATAATCCTGCTGAACTGAATGGTGATGTAAACAATCCTTTATCTTAACATTATATAGAAAAGGCTTTCTAGTTTATCTCACCATACATTATATTCATGTTGCACAGGATGGTGATGTAAACAATTCTTTATCTTAAACTTAAATAGAAAAGACGTTCTAGTAGTGATGTAAACAATACTTTATCGTAACTTTATATTGAAAACTCATTTTAGTTCTCTCACCATACATTATAATCCTGCTGAACTGAATGGTGATGTAAACAATCCTTTATCTTAACATTATATAGAAAAGGTGTTCTAGTTTATCTCACCATACATTATATTCATGTTGCACAGGATGGTGATGTAAACAATACTTTATCTTAACCTTATATAGAAAAGATGTTCTAGTGTATCTCACCATACATTATAATCCTGTTGAACAGGATGGTGATGTAAACAATACTTTATCTTAACCTTATATAGAAAAGACGTTCTAGTGTATCTCACCATACATTATAATCCTGTTGAACTGAATGGTGATGTAAACAATACTTTATCTTAACATTATATAGAAAAGGCTTTCTAGTTTATCTCACCATACATTATAATCATGTTGCACAGGATGGTGATGTAAACAATACTTTATCTTAACTCTATATGGAAAACTAATTTTAGTCTATCTCACTATACATTATAAGCATGTTAAACAGGATTGTGATGTAAGCAATACTTTATCTTAACATTATATAGAAAAGGCTTTCTAGTTTATCTCACCATTCATTATAATCATGTTGCACAGGATGGTTGGTGATGTAAACAATACTTTATCTTAAAATTATATAGAAAAGGCTTTCTAGTTTATCTCACCATTCATTATAATCATGTTGCACAGGATGGTTGGTGATGTAAACAATACTTTATCTTAAAATTATATAGAAAAGGCTTTCTAGTTTATCTCACCATACATTATAATCCTGTTGAACAGGATGGTGATGCAAACAATACTTTATCTTAACTTTATATTGAAAACTAATTTTAGTCTATCTCACTATACATTATAAGCATGTTGAACAGGATGGTGATGTAAACAATACTTTATCTTAACTTTATATTGAAAACTCATTCTAGTTATCTCACCATACATTATAATCCTGTTGAACAGGATGGTGATGTAAACAATACTTTATCTTAACNCTCATTCTAGTTTATCTCACCATACATTATAATCCTGTTGAACAGGATTGTGATGTAAACAATACTCTATCTTAACTTTATATTGAAAACTCATTCTAGTTTATCTCACTATACATTATAATCATGTTGAACAGGATTGTGATATAAAAATATACTTTATCTTAACATTATATAGAAAATGCGTTCTAGTTTATCTCACCATACATTATCATCCTTTTGAACAGAATGGTGATATACAAATATACTATATCCTAATATAATATTAAAAAGGCGTTATAGTTTATATTTGCTGAAACAAAGACTTACATTTCTTATTTCACTGAACAGGATGATGAAATGAGAAAGAATCTATGCAATATATTAACGTAATATAAGAGAGGCGTTCTCTTATTTCCTGAAACAAAGACTCACATGTTATATTCACACTGAACAGGACGGTGTTATGAGAAAGAAACTATGCAATATCTTTAAATTCTATAGGAAAGACGTTCTTCTTTACATTTCTTGAAACAAAGACTCACATATTTTATTCATGTTAAATAGGATGAAGATATGAGAAAGAAACTATGCAATATATTTACATTAAATAGGAAAGGCGTTCGAGATAACATATCTTGAACCAAAGACTCACACATAGTAATACTTTTGAAAGAAAAAAATATCCATTAATGTGAGCTTTGGTTTTCAACTATCAAACAAAATATTTGTTTAGATATAATACTAAATGTTAGAATTGTCTCACCGTGACCGTATTGTAGAGGCACCAG